TTTTTTTTTTTTTTTTTTTTTTTTTTTTTGTCAAAACATAACTAACTGTACACGATGACTAGAAAATCCACAGCATCAAAAACAATTAGATAAATGACTAATGTTTGGTGTAAAGATGACATTTGGAGAAGAATAAATTATTAATTAAGGGATAACAAAAACTGAAATTTTATTGAAAACCTATAAGAAGACAGAAAGATGGAATATTTTTAGTCTTTGTTGACTACTGCAGTTACAAAAATCTTTAAGAAAGCAAACAGGCAAAAGAAAAATAAATTTTTTTACTTTTTTTAAAACATTAAGGCAACCGTCGAGGCAATTTCAAACCAAAAAAAATAATAAAAATATGCTAACTTCATGGCATTGTTAGTTGTAGTATTTGCGATAGCGTTGTATTTGCTGCTGCGGCGGCTTGTGGGCAGTGCTGTTGATGATTCTTCAACATCTTTTTAGATTCAAATATTTTTGAACACTGTGAACATTCTACGGTTCCGGCAACATTTTTTGGTTTATGCCAACGGCGATGTGAAGCCAAATTTGCTGGACAGCTGAACACCTAAAAAAAAAGAAACACTGTATAGGGATTTCTTTTGCGGTTGTTGGTACTGCTGGACAAGTGGTCCACAGCGATCGATCCGTTCAATATCAATTTGAACTTTAGGCCTTTTTTTTTTCGCTGGCCAGTAACTGTTGAAACAGATCAGCGATTATATAAATTCTTCCGCTCATCTTCAAAGTATATAAAAAAGCAATCTGGATAAACTTAGAAAAGCGTCAAGATAAAAGCGGAAATGTTGGTAAGTTGAAGGGTCAGTAACAGTAGGTGGTTTGGGTCAAGCATTTGGATCTGTTTGATCGTCATGTTTCAGGCTTCACACAGCTGCGTTTAATCCATTTTTTATTTCGTTGTTGCTGTTCAAGCGTATTTCGAAAATCAGTTGATATGTTCAGTAGTCAAATCCACACTATTCCATTAGTTCAATTTCGTCTATTCGTAACGGTCATTTCTATCACAAACCGATAACCTCTTAATCGCTAACACAATTTAATTGTTTTTTCCCGTTTTTACCTTCACTCGTCTTTTAACGCAGGGAGATGCTCGCAGGCAGTCAAATACTGCCAACCTTTTGATATTTCAATTGACCTCTGTTTTAGGCGAAGTAACAGATGTAAGAAGAGAGCTGAATAAATTAACAGGGGTGCAGGTCTTACTTTATCGCACTCAGGACATCGATATTCTTCGTGAATTATACGTGGACATCGATGCTGCGCTAATCGAAATACGTCATCATATTTTACCTAAAAACCGACGCTTAACTGTGCATTTTTTTTCACTGTCTAGTTATTTCCTGTCAACATAAAAAGAAAAAAGGAAGGAATTCACAATTTATATCGGATATCTCCAAATTCTAACGAAATACACTACTACAAACAAAATATTTTTTAAAATATGGTTTGCAGTTAATTAAAATTAATAGGCTGTAAATATTAGAAAAACCTCTACCTTACATAATGCACAAATACAGTCCCCAATGACATTTTCAATTTTTGCAATTTTTCTCCTACTTTCTTCTGAAACATTGACAAATGCTGCTGTATCATCTAAATCAGCAACAGCTTGAAGTTCATCCGGAGGTGGTACAGAAGATGCATCCTGCAAACACAAAACTCTTTTCAAAAAATATTCTGTTAAGTGAAAGTAGCCAAACTGAACATCAAAAACCACTTTTTTCAAAATCTTCTAATTGTTGAGGATTTTCAAAAGTAAATTTGCTTTGAGTAAAATAAAGCATAAACCTTAATAAACATGCCAGAAACAGGTGAGCTGGTCTCCGAATCATTGGCAACCCGTTTGCTCACTTTTGGTTTCTTGACCGGATTATCCTCACTATTTCGTGAAGCAGTTCGTTTTCTTTCATTCGGTGGCTCAGTAGTCTGACTAGGTGAAGCTGCCTGGGCAGAAAAGAAGATTATTAAGCAAAAGACTAGCTGTTCAGAAACAATGAAAGGTAAAAATAAATTTTATCTAAATAATTAGGTTTTTGTAGACAACTATTTAATTTAAGTAGAAGACCCAACCAGCCTTGTTCATTGTTAAAAAACGGAAAACTATAGTTTTTTTGCAATAATACTAGAATAAAGTTACTGGAATTTTGGAAAAATCAAAAAGCCAAAAAATTCTTCGAAAAGTGCTTCTCAAAAGCCAAGATAAAGGAAGAAAATAAAGGAGAAAAGTGCCAGGCAGAAGGCTGAGATAACCAATTTAGGCAGCATTCAATTCGCTAAGATTGAATCAATTAAGAGAGAGAAATTTTTTTGTTTTAGACTTACACTTAATGCAAGTTTGCTTAGATTATTCCATTGAGCAACTTGGGCCAAAAAATTGTTGAAAATTTGTGGTTGACAAAGTAACTGCAGTTGCATAAGTTGTAATGCAGCAGCATAATCAGCCGAAGTGGTTAAAAAATCCTTGACTACGGTATCGTTCGCGCTACTATGGTCCTCCTTAGATGTTGATGGTGTTGCTGGCAGTTCGGATGCTGCAGAACAGAGGCCTAGAAGGCGACGAGCCACAAAATCACTCATTGACATTGCATCAGACCGACTACCGATCAACCAGAACAGCTTCTGGAATAATAATTATTTGTCCACTTAGACCGCTTTTGATGATCGGTCGACAGCACTCCGAGCATCTGTCTTCTACCTCATTCCCTCCCACCGGCTCAACGGTGCCTCAGTTGCCATCCACGTCCCCTCATTTGCCTGCTGCTACACCCTATTCCTCCTCCATCTGCCCACTCTCTTTGCATTGCTTTCTTTCTTTCGGCTTACAAAAGCGGAATAATTGGGGGAGTAGGAGGGGGAATAGGCCGCGCCCACTTTATTAATTCAGCCAATCATATCATTAGGATTAAGCAAAACTTTCATGCATATATCGCCTACGCTGAACAGTTTTTTGCTGTTAATCTTTTAATGAAAATTGAATTTAAAAATGACAGGAAAATTAAGGCAGAAATAAATAAGACATTGAGGAGTTTGAACACAGGTCGGAGTTGATCAGGTAAGTTTTTTATCTTTAAAATTTCTGGCTTTGGTGAGTAAAAAAGTGATAAACCAATTAGAGAGAACAAAGGACAAAACACCTTTACTCGTCTGATTCTCTGGACAGTTTTGCAATCTTTGTGATACAGTAGTGAACTATGAAGCAAAAAGTCCGATGCTGTTTATTTCTCTTGAGAATATTACTTGAAATGCGCATATCCATTTGCTGCATTTTATCTACGCTGAACAAAGACGAAAGATGGTTTTTAGCATGGAAAAGCAATGAAATAAATCTTTTACTACTATAAAATGTCAATGATTAAACTGTTTTAAGCGTAAATTTTTGGCTTTCTCCCTTGTTCTTTACATTACTGAGGTAATGGTTTCTTTCTTTTTTGTTTGCTGTCGATGACGACCAACAAAGGCGGAAAAAAAAGAAAGGAGCTACTTGCAGAAAATTTGATTAAAAACCTCTGCACATTCGGAACTTTTTTTTTGCTAATAAAACGAAAACCACTTTTTTTTTATTTGAGGTTTATAACTGTTGAAAAACGCTGTAAATAAGGAAGTGATAAACAGAAATTGTAGGTAGAAAAAGAGTAGCAAGTATTTCATCTTATTGTTTGAGGTAGAAAATCAAGTATTTTTGAAGAAACTGTAACAGCATTTGGATTTAGCTGATAGTTAGGAAGATGTTTGAAAAAAATGACAACTAACCATTTTAAACAAAAAATTAGGAATTAAGCGAAGATTCTGTCGATCGTCTTGTAACGGAATTCCCAAAAATTGCTCCTAATTTTTTTTTCTTTCACTTTTTGTAAAACAGATAACCACGCAATTTTAGAATGTGTATAATATGAATTAAATCTGGCAAATAATTTTTCTATGTGGTTGTTAAGCAAAAAAAAAGTATGATTAAAAATAAAGTCAGGAAGAGCAAAAATTTTTTGATTTTTCTTTTTTCTATTCAGGACTTCTGTTCTCATCTTATTCTTGCCCTTCTTTTGCTTTGTTTTCTTTTTTTTTACCTTGGTCGTGTAAGATAAAGAAAAATATATTTATTTTTTTGCATAAAAAAATTAATTTATTTATTTTTGTAAAAAATTACTGAAAAATTGTTCGCAAGAAAAAAATATATATATATGAATATTGTTGTCTGCGTGGATAAACTGAACGGTAAACCTAAATACTGAGCAAACTGAATACCAAACGTTGTCAACAGCGGATGTTCAAAGCCGATAAATAGATACTAAAAATTTTTCGGCCAGGAACTGTAGCAATAACTGTCGTCAACGACACT